CAAACTAGTCCCATTTCCTGCAGGGCCCATTTAAAGTAAGAGAAAATAATAAAAACATAATGCTAAGCTCATCTATTTTGATGCTTACTGTATGTAAATAAATATGATCTACTTCAAAACGAATTAGACTATTATGCTTCTCTTGAATCTGTAACTTTTTTCATTAATAAGTTAGAAATTTAGCGGTTTAATGAAAATATCTAGGCTTATAAGGATAATAAAGTGTACATATGCAGGCACATATATGTATATGTACATACAATACCCTCCTAACCCGATTTCAAGACAAACGCGGAAACAAGTTGGACGCAATAATACTGACTGAAGTGTAAGTATTCATACAAGGATCTACTACCTACTTTGTTCTAAAATCGGGTGTGACTGTTAATATAAGTATACGAATCATTTTTGGCTTAAGTCGATTCAAGTGGATATTGTTTTTGTTCAGAAATATAAGGGGTATTCACGATCCGGTGCATACGGTCTAGCATGGTGCACAGATAGCATAAATAGCATGGGCTCAAACAACAACAAAATTAGCCAATCGTGCTATCTATGCACCATGCTAGACATTATGCACCGGATCGTGAATACCCCTATACTGATTTCGGAAATGTATAAATTTGCTCTAATACGCAATAATTTCAATACTGAAAACAACCTGTGCCTGTGGTGTCGCAGTCGCATATCGTCTCATTGACGTTGCACTCAACGAACGTTGCAGTAGATAACGCGATAACATTTTGTTTACGCAAGTTAATTTATTAATCAAACACTTTTAGAATAAATTGAATATGCAAAACTAACAAAGGAACTGCAACACTCGCTTGCCTATTTGTAGAACTGAATATCTCAACGTTTGCAAACTAACTGAACTGAACAAATGTTCATAAATCGGCTATGTATGCTATCTATTTATTGTAATATTTGTTATTCTAACGGTCGTGGAAATGCTTTGCGCTTCGTTATGCGAAAGTTTTGCACAGAGCTTTTTTGAACAATCAATTTAAAATTACTTCGTTTATCGGAATCAATTTGAATGATTTATACCCTATAAGACAGGGATATTTATCCAAAAATAGCGGAGGGGCCTACAGTTTTACGCCGACTCCGAACGGAGATTTTATTTTTATGAGAAGTTGTCTTTCATGGCAGAAATACACCCGGAGGTTTGCCATTGTCTGCCGAGGGACGACCGCTGTTAAGAAAAAACCTTTCTCCATATTTTTTTTTGCGATGTTGCTTTGACCAGGGCTTGAACCCAGGCGTTGCGGAGTGGAAGCATGCACTGTGAATACCAGGTATTCATGAAATTTGATCTGAGTCGCGGACTAGTCCATAAATGGTCCCGATGAAGTCTTGAACTATTTCCGAAACGATTCCGAAAAAATCCCAAAGTAGTCCCTAAACTAAACCCGAAAAAGTCTTGAGTTAATCCCAAACTGGTTCCGAAAATGTCCCGAACTAGCTCCGGAAAAGTCTTAAACTATTCTCGAAGTGTGCCCGAACTATATTAACGAGCAATGTTGCTAGAAAAATTGATTCGATTCGTTTTTATTTCTACTACATACTTCTGAATACATCTTAGTTTACTCGTGACGGTTCACGTAAATTTTGCCCAATATTTTTGGAAATCCATCCCTGTACATTTTTTAAAAGAATTTTCAACAAGTACATCTCCAACTATTTAAATTGATTCCGCGCCGCTTAGAAGGAGGAAATAGTTGAAGTTGCTTTATTTAAAAATTTATTCTTTTTCTTCTGTTTTGTTTTTTTAAATTTCTTCGCAGGAAAATCTTGTGACCACCAAAACGCTGCTGAACCCCTAATTACACAAGTGGACGGGGTATTATGGAAAGGGCGTTATGACGTAGGGCATGTTTATGCCACGGCCTCATCCCGATGTAATGCGGGAGTGGTTCCGGGGAGGCGGCTTTTGAAGAGATTCGCAGGCACCACTTGATGGATAATTTATATATCCTAACGTCCGTTAAAAACAAACATTCAATCGGACCACTTTTAGTACAATTCATTTATGTTTCATAACATTGCTTGAAATTTTTGGACTAACATTGATCTAGATACAATACAATTTGGTTTAGATACCTACGATTGTATTTTTCGAACAATTGGATCAATATTTCGTCCAGGGTACGTTAACGATGCCCAGATTTGTGCATATGTGTGTATGCGAACTTTTTTCAGCCAGCCGACGGGGATTTGGTTTAATTTTAGGTCGATGTTCAATGTACGAATACAGGGTGGCTACAAAAAGGCAACGCATGCAAAGGGTAAAAATTTGCAGAGTGCACACGATGATTAATATCTGTTTCCATACCGTTATTCGAACTTATTTTATCATGCATCTACGGAAGTGGTTTCTCAGTTTGCTTTTAATAAGATTTTAAAATTTTTAAATTGCCAAATAACTTGGCCTTTTTTTTGAGTGGACAGTTTTAAGGTTTAGTATAATTTAGAGATAGTTTCGAAGCAGCTACAGAATACCGTTGCCTACTTACATACAGATATAGGGGAAAAATTGCATGGACTCTGAATTGAAACAAATCGATTTCTCTACCACCTATCGCTTCCATTTGTGGTATAATGCAGTTTAATGCAAATTTTACTCATAAATATCAGAATATTTTTTATCTTATTCATTGATAACATTTGTTCCAGATATTTAAGCATTTTTCTTATTGTTTAACAAGGCAACTCAGTTTAAGTAAACGTATTTTTTTCCATACCTTAAAGCACTTTTCGTTTCATCATTAGTTCAAGTGCATACAATTTTGGCAGACAGGAATGCGTTTCTAAAATGCTATCAGAAAATGGGGCAGTAATCAAATGGTTTTAAGACCAGGGCTGGTTGGTACAGAGATGAAGATGGAAATCTGATAACTAATGTTAATAGTACACTGGAGATATGGGGAAGCTCACGTTCCTCCACTTGACCCAGTCGGAGATAGAACAGCAAAAAGGCGGCTAAAACAAGGCTCCCGAAGACGACGGCATACCGGCTGAGTTGTTTAAAGCCGGACGCGAGAACCAGCTGTTAAGCAGAATTTGGTATGATGAATACATGCCTGAAGATTGGAATCTGTGTGTACTTTGTCCAATCCACAAGAAATCCGATTCCGTCGATTGCGCCAATTATCGCGTAGCAAGACTTCATGAACAGACACCATCTTTTTGTCAATTTAAAATTTTAATTTTTGATAGTACAAAAAGAAGCTGCATAAACGTCGCCATGTCTACATTTGGGATTCCGGTAAACCTAGTACGGCTATATATAATAACGTTGAGCACAACTTTCAGCTTGATTCCAATTGGAAATACATCTACGCGCCTTTTGAAATCAAATGAGGTTTTAGATAAGGGGTTCACTTCCGTGCGACTTTTCAAACTAGTGCTGAAATGCGTAATAACTGCAACTTATGGACGTCAGCGCAGCATTTTCCAGCTCTTCAGAAAAGCAAAAACTCCATATAAAAAACCCTTATGAGATGGCTTAGATTTTCTTGTGGCAAATTTCCTTAAGGCAGTATACAGTTATTAGGCAATTTGCTGCGATTTTTACTACGGGTTTCTTAAGTTTTTTGTGAAAAAAGATCACAAGGCAACTCACGTTTAAAATATATGCAGGTTCCATTAATTCGTAAGAAAATAGTGAGAAAGCAGGCTGTGAAATATCAGATGTTAAAATTGATATGATCTAAATCCCCAATTATGTGGATTGGTATCGTATAGCTCGCGTTGCGTCCGATCCCAGCGTGGTCCGGCCGTATGTTGTGATTGCTTCACTTCGATGTTGATATTTCCTTTCCTTGCTGAATGCAATTTTTTTGCTGCACTGAGGCGTGTGCGTATCTTGGTTGAAACAAGGTAGTGATTCGAGTTTATGTTTGGTCCTCGGAGTCTGCACACGTTAAACATGCCTGATCGATTTGGTTTCCCATTATGCGATCTCGAGACATACACACAGCTTAATTTATCTTTTTATTGTGAAATCTAGTACTGTTTTCTACTCGTTCTTCTCTTCCGTCTGAAAGTGGGCGCAAATGAGCGAAATTTTGAAGAATATCACTTTGATGCAGGTTGTGGTTAGAGGCTTCTCTAACGAGGTGAACAACAGTACTCGGCGACGGAGGATCCTTCTGCTTGAACCGCACACAAGAATCGTTTTTAGCCACTGATTTAAGAACTTTCGGGAGAAGAAAATTTCTTTCCATTTCTTGTGCGTCGTTTTATATGAACTTTTCGTTTTTCTTGAGAGTTCATTAAAATTTTCGGTATTTGAAATATTAAAAAAATGAGGCAATCGTGAAAAATCACCATCTCTATCGCAAATCAGAAACTTGAAATCGAGAACATAAAAGTGTAAAAATTTCCTGGAATCAATTAATTTATTTTTATTAAAAGTGTTTTTTTTTTTAATAATTTTTATTACTTTTGAAAGTTGAGCGCATCTTGTGTGTTTAGAGAGCTTTTTTATTTATTAAGTAACTTTTAAGTAAAAACCGACAACCGACTTCAATTCTCATATATCAACAAATTTAAGGGTACCGTTAATTTCTTCATGATCCCATGATCGGATCTAAATCAAATTACGGGACGACCCTTGAGGTACCATCTTTCCGATGAAAAAAGAATTATTGAAATAGGTTCACGTAGTCCAAAGTTATGCGGTTCATACATAAAAAAAAAAAAAATATCCGACGATTTGATAACCTCCCCTTTTTTTAAAGTCGGTTAAAAATGTTTGAGTTCTTTTTTAATTTTATGTTAATAAAGTCCAATTTATGAAACTTTAAAATGTGTATTTATTTATTACTTACTGTACATAAAACTTGCATAAATGTATTTTAAAGAGTTTATTGTCTGAAGCGATGAAATATATTCCTGTGTGCGCCCCTGGCTCCAGTCTATTATTATTATTACTTGTATGCACAGTGAGTGCCAGTCAAAATCGTACAGTCATTTTTTCCATATTTTGAAAATATTTTGGTTCATTTAAATTTTATTAGTTTTTAATAAACATTTACATAGTCCATACTACAACTAAATCCATAAAACTCGGAGTTTCTAATTTGTAACTGTATGTATATACGATTTATTTAAATTAAGAAATCGAAGTCAGTACAAAAAAAAAATGTCGGAGTAAGGGCGGACCTCCTTAGAATGCGTATCCGCATAGGTGAATTTGACAGATGAGTAAAATACACAAGTTCTTATGGGTATCCGTATCTGGATAGGCACGCTACTGAGGTCCGCCTTAAGCCACAAACAAATTATTCATAGGTACTAAATATATTATAGCTTTCTCTTTCTTCTTATTCTCATTACTTGCCCTGCAATTTAGTTTATTCTCTCCTCTCTGTGAATTTGAATTTTAGCGGTATCTGCGGCACACTCATAAATTTCATTTCGAAAGCATTTTCCGTTGGATAATTAAATTCAATGTAGAAATTTCTCACTAAACGGGCTAAAGTAATTTCCAACTCCAAATTTACTATGCGCTTTCCGACACAACTACGTGGCCCAAAGCCAAACGGTACATACATAAATGGATTGCTAATTTGTCCTTCGAGTGCCTGAGTGGAATTGTCGTTGCGCAACCAACGTTCCGGTATAAACTTATCTGGTTGTGGCACGTAACGCTCGTCACGCATCAACAAATTGGCGCCGATGGATATGTCGGTGCCGGCGGGTATGCGATATCCGCTAAGCACCACATCGCTGGACAGCCGGCGCACAGTTCCTGGGATAATGGGGTACTGACGTATGCTTTCCTTTATGCAGGCGCGCAGGTATGGTAAATTTTGCATATTCTCAATGGTAAGTTGAGAGTCTTTGTGCGGCAAAATTTGCGAGATTTCTTCAAAGAGTTTTTGCTGTTTGTCGGGATTCTTCGCAATGCATATCAGCAAACCGCTCAAAGTAGAGCTGGTCTGTGTGAATCAGATGAAATATGGATATGTGTACATATGTGTTATATATATTAAATTTTCGAATTTTATTCGCACACTTACCGTATCAATGCCTGCTAATATCATATCCAGCGCCATAACTACTGCAAACTTTTTATTTACGCGCACCAATTTCTCCAGCACACTTTTCTCTTTGCCCACCTCTGACATAAGTTGGCCCTCACTGTCGCGCTTAATGCGCACCAACGCCTCACTAATGTATTTATTGCAAATGTCTGTCAGCGTATCGAGTGTTCTCATCATTTCGTAGAATTTCGGTGTCTTTACATATTTCCATATAGATGGCTTAATTTCTAGCTCTTCGGAGAGCACAAAGAAACTGCGTATACCTTTCATGATAGTCCTACCCTCAGCAGAATCACGATTTTTATGTATCAAACCGAGTCGCGTATTCAATGCTATGCCAGCGATGCCTTCGAATGCGAGGCGATTAATATCATCGAGAAAATCACCAGGCACTTCAAGAGTTTCAGGATCGCGGACGTGACGAATCCTATGTAGTAGCAAAATTAGAATTCACTTGAAGAAATGTATAGCTTGTATGTACTACATATTTATGCAGAGCAAAATTTTGTGACAGCTAGCTTACCTTTCCAAGAATTCATTATTAATCTCTAAGAGCGTATTCAAATACAATTTGGCATTTTTCGGTTGCATCAGTATTGGATTTACCGCAGTACGCATTTTTGCCCATTTCTCGCCAGAGCTTTTGAGAGTTCAAACATAAATCAACGTACATATTGCCGAATGTTGTTTGCAAATGTTGCATACTCACGTAGATATTATTCCCTCGACGCCCTGAAAGAACTCTCCTCGATGTTTTTCACGATGATAGACGAAAGTATCGAAAACGCGACGGTTTGGCCACGGGCCCTCATTCCGAAAAATAATTGGAAAATCTGCGGGATTTAAATCAATAACGATTTCTGGTTTATCGAATATACCAGGAAATCGAAAAAGCGGTCCGTATTTCTTTTCCATGCCAGCCATGGCGGTAAAAAATGGTTTCTTCGAAAATTCACCTGTAAGCAAAGAAAATATTTACATACAAATGAACATACATATTAAAACACCGTTGCAACTTGAAAAAAAAAGAAAAAAAATTTAGGCTGTGGCTTGAGAGGAAACTTTCCTTATGATCAAATAATAACATCCTATCAAAAAATTTTAAACTGAATACTTAAATAAATAATATATATGTATACGTCTATACTCAATTTATATTTATTAATGAAACCGTATTCTTACTAATACATATTACACTATGCGACAGTCAAAATCGGGATGGGATGAAACCAACGGGAAATGTTATATCGGTCAAAAACAAGCTATACGTGTCCCGGCGTTTCGCTGGGTCACGTCTAGGAATCGAGATATATATATAACTATCATATAGGGGAAATTGTCACCTTTGGTGGTCTTTTTTTGACATAACTCGAGAACCACTAGTCCGATTTTGCTCAAACAAATTAAAAAAAATTAAAAATTACAATTCCTTTAATCTGTTCATATAACGTTTTTCTATGTAATCAACAGTTTTAAAAAAATTTAATATTTTAGGCAAAAAATATCTTTTTTCTTCATACATTTATTTTTACCGGCAAAACTGTTGATCATATAGAAAAACGTTATATGAACAGATTAAAGGAATTGTAATTTTTAATTTTTTTTAAATTTGTTTGAGCAAAATCGGACTAGTGGTTCTCGAGTTATGTCAAAAAAAGACCACCAAAGGTGACAATTTCCCCTATATGATAGTTATATATATATATCTCGAATCCTAGACGTGACCCAGCGAAACGCCGGGACACGTATAACTTGTTTTTGACCGATATAACATTTCCCGTTGGTTTCATCCCATCCCGATCACTGACCCCTACCATTTGTCTCACAGTGTTATAAATGCAAAAGTAAGTTTGTTTGTTTGTTATGCTTTCACGCTTTAACTACTCAACCGATAATTATGAATTTGCATATTGGTGTCATTTAGGTTAGACACGGGGCGTGGCACCTACCATACAAACGGAATTTATCACACCTACTGCATATCTCAGAAAGTATTTTGGGTAGTTGGGGATGAATTAACACAATTTCATACTCATAGAGTAGAGCCTCCACCTGTTCAAAAAATCATATTCAACTTGAATTAAAGGAAATATTAATTTGAAACTTGTATAAAAATACTAGCAGACCCGGCGAACTCCGTCCCGCCCAAAATTAATTTTTTGTATTGAAACATTTTGGTACAACATTTTCACCAACAGTTCACGTCCATGATTTTCAGTGACGCGTTTATCTTCTAATATTACGGTTTGGTGGTTGTCGGAAGGCATATTTCCATTACCATCTTAAATAACCTAGCAAAATTGTATATGCATACAAAGATACGTAATAGCTTCAGTACCATTTGAAAGGCGCCACACCCCCCTTATAAAATAGCCACAATTTTTCCTAAGAGTATGGGAGTGATTTCTCATATCTCCATACCATGTTCAGGTACTCTACCATGAACACTTCCAGAGATATGCAGTGTGAAATATTCGGTTTGCATTGGAGGTGCTACGCCCCTTTTTCTTCAAATTTTTCTTCTTTCAAATTTTTCTTCATGACTATGCGTTTGATTTTATATGTCTTGGACATACCAAGTTCCAGTACTCTACTATGAACACTTGCAGAGATATAAAGTGTGAAAAATTTGGTTTGTATGGGAGGTGCCACGTCCCCTTCACTTAGCGGTATGAAACATACTTTACACCCTATTGTCATACCTACGAAATATACACAAAAAATTTCATTCAAATCGGTTACGCCGTTTCGGAGGAAATCGACCACAAACACCGTGACACGATATTTTTATATATTAGATTTTTCATACAAACATACCAAAAGATCTAAAAGAAAAAATAGAGAAAATTATTTTAGGATAGGGACACCCTAATCGCCAAATTCCTGTACTCTATCGTGAACACTTCCAGAGGTATGCAGTATGAAAAAATCGGTTGTATGGGAAGTGCCACGCCCCCTTTTCCAATAACCACAATTTTTTTACATGAGCATGCGATTGGTTTCATATATCTCCATACCATGTTCGAGCACTCTACCATCAACACCTCCAGAGATATTCAGTATGAAAAATTCGGTTTGTATGGAAGGTGCCACGCCCCCTTTTCCAATAACCACAATTTTTTTCCATGAGCATGCGATTGGAAAAAAATTGTGGTTATTGGAAAAGGGGG